AGGCACTCAGCACTGGGTTCCAGCAAGTGGGCGTCCTCAGTGCGGCACACAGCCTTGTAACTGCCTTCACAAAAGCCTGCGGGCTCGGCATCACCACTGACCGCTCATGGCACGAGGACAGAGATGCGTGTGGGGGAAGCCACTGGTGTGGTCTGCATGCGCTCGTCTGTCACAGCCGCTTCTGAATCAGCAGCTGACGTAGAGAAAAGCCGGCCCAGCCTGGCAGCAGACAGCAGGGACGCATCTTGGACTCTCCCAGCCAGGCCTGTCCTGCTGGAGCCGTTCAGGGAGACAGCGGCCCAGAGTGCAGCAGCGGGTCAGCTGTGGATGGTGACAGTCGCACTCGGCACCTGTTGATCCTGAGCCTCAGAGGGTGGAAGTCAGGAACGCCCGAGAAGAAGGAATGTGGGATCCAGAGAGACTGGGAGAGCAGGCTGCACAGAGCTGGGCAGAGCGGACTGTCAGCCGTGCTGGGGTGAGGAGGGCGCAGTGAATCTTAGGGGCTTCTCACAGCAAGGAGCGGGTAAGCACCCGGCACTCTTCTCACTGGGCAGCCTGGAGCCGAGCTGCCTCACCTTCCTGTGCCCTCATTTCCTTATCTGTCAAATGAGCCTTTTGTGTTGGCTGTTCCTTCTAGCAGCGCCCCTCGTCGTGGCTCCCAGTTCAGTGCCACCTCCCCAAGGGGGCCTGTCCTGACTGTCACTCCCTGTGCCTTCCAGCTAACGTCCACTCCTTCTCCAGGGCACTGCAGCGTCGCTTTCTCACAGCTGAAGAAAGCATTGCCTTTCTTACAGAACTGACAGTTTTTTGAGGCCTTACGGGCATTAACTTATTTAATCTTCACAGCAACTCTGCCATGTACACTGTTGCTGTCTCCATCATACAAGTGGGGACGCTGAGGCACAGAGAGGTTAAATAACTTCCTCTAGGTCACCCAGCTTGTAAGTGGAGCTTGGATTTGAGCCCAGGCTTCTGACTCCTGAGGCCACGCCCTGGGCGCCTGTGCTGTATCTCTGTGTCCTGGGAGTTTATATTGCTCCTTTATCGCACTCCAGCTAGAATGCATGTTTTGCAAGGATGGGGACTTGGTTTGGACCAACTGTATGCTAGCACAGCACCTGGCGCCAAGTGGGCCCTCAGTGAACGTTTGTGGAATGAACAGAGCCTGGAACTCATCCTGCAGGCGTTGAGTGGCTGGAAGCTTTTAAAACAGTCCTGGTGACACAGGCTGAGGCAGCCCTTCCGAGAGTCCCCGTCTTCCCCGAGCCTGGACGCGGAGCACGGGCTGTTTATCTTTGTTGGGCCTGCTCTGCGTGGGCTAGCCCCTTTCTGGGCCCTGAGGGTCCAGAGTCAGATGAGCCCCAGGCCATAGCCGTGTCAGTCCCTAGAGCCTGGAGCTCCAGGCAGATGTGTCTGCAGGCCTGTGGACCCTTGTAGGAAAAGAAGGCAGAGCCACAGCTGGGAGGAGCCGGAGCTGTGTCTGTGCCTGGGGGCGGAACATGGCACTCTGCGACCCAGTTTCCCCAGCCGGGAACCCTTCTCTGCCGGTCTTGGGGGGGCTCTGCCATGCTAACGCAACACGAGTTATTGTCACTGTCACGGGCTCATTCATCATAGTCGGCCGGGGGCTCTGCTCATCAAGTCTCTGAGGGAGGAGATGGTCAGAGGCGTCCTTTTGATGTGGGCTTCTCGGTTCTCTGTGATGAGGGAAGGTGCTGTAGGGGGTCTCACGGCTCCCATGGGAAGTTCCGCGCACCCCTTCTGCTCACGGTGCATTGGCCAGAGCACATGGCATGGCCCTCACTGCCACGAGGGGAGGAGGGGCAGGGGGCGGGCAGCACTAACGGCTCACGCCCCTGCATCCCCTCACCTGGCAGGTGGTTGTGTGTGACGCGTGGCAGGACACGCGTGGAGCTCTGCCGGGGAGCCAGTGGGTCCAGGGCCGCAGCCTGGATGGGCCCCCGAGAGCACACTTGGGGCAAGAAGGGCCTTGCTGTACTGCTGAGGGTGGGCGGGGATCCTGACAGCAGGGGGCTCACCCCAGCAGATGCCCAGCGCACTGGCTGCTTGCCTCGGGGACGTCACTCCCCTGTGTAACGCCATTCAGAGGCTCCCTTCGCCGGCCACATCTGTCCCAACCCGGGGCCCCTCCTGGCCTCCCCATCTCACTTGCCCCAGCTCCCCGCCTATACCTCCTGCCACACCTTTCTTCTCAATTGCCTGGCAAGCTCCTGGTCACTGGTCAAGGGCCAGTCATTTCAGATTTCTCTCTCCTGTGACATCGCAGTGAAACCTGCCAGCTGGAATCAACCTCTCCCACATTCGGTTCAGGCTAAAAGCTGAACCGTCGGGTTCACACACAGATTCACAAATAGTGTCATTTCTACCCTCAAACTGCGTCCTAAACTGGCTGCAGCTCCCCGCCTCCTGCCCCACTGCCTGGACGCCTGCAGGAGTTTCCTAGCCGGGCTCCCAGCCTGGACCTAGCCTTGCTGCCTGTGGAGCAGCCAGAGAGCTTCTAGAACGTGGACATCAGGTCCTGTCACTGCCCTATTCAGAACACGCCAGGGCTTCTCATCTTGCTCAGGATGACCAGACTCCCCTGTGGCCTGCGCAGCCATGTGTGGTCTGGCTCTCCCCACTGCCCTCCTCTCCCCCTCCCCCGTGTTCCCTACTCTCAGCCACCCTGGAGCAGCTTCGTGGGCCCTTCATCCTGCAAAACCCATTCCTGCTCCAGGGCCTTTGCGTCCTGTGTTTGCCTCCACCCGGAAAGCTCCTTAATCACTCTGGTCGCTGTCCAGTGTCACCTGCTCAGAGAAGGCCTCTCTGCTTCACCTCTGCCCTCCAGCCTCACTGAGTCCCTTTGCCCTTCAGACTGTGGACTGCAGCCTACCGTTGTGCTGGGTGTTCACAGCTGGTGCTGCTCGCTCCTGTCTGCCAGAGTGGTGCCTGGCGCAGAGGAGGCACACGGCACTTCTTAATCGGTGAAGAATCTGCGTTCCCACGGCCCCTTGCACAGCCTCTCCTTCCCACGGCTGGACTCCCTCTCCGACTGCGCCCTGAGCTCCTTGAGGGTGGAGGGGCCTGCATCCTGGAAGTCCATGATGCTGTGTGACGTTGGTGTGTAAACACAGGAGGGAGCAGACGGGGACAGAGAAGGGAGAGCAGCCACCCCGGGGAAGCAGGAGGAAGCAGGAGCTGGCTGGGCCTGGACCAGGGCACATATCGGGGCCTCAAGGGGCCAAGCAGTTGGGTGGGTGACGGAGGGCACCCGAGTGGGGGATGCCCAGCCCAGCTGTCCCGTCATGGCCACACAGGAGCACAGGCCCAGGGGTGCCAGATGGTCTGATTTTCCAAGGGAGGTTGGGAATCCAGACTGTATGAGCACTCTCAATTTCTAAACGTTGGCAATTACCTAGAATTCTTTGCATTAACATTGTGTGTGTGAAAGAGAACATGTCTGTGGGCTAGCCATGGTGACCCCTGGCCTGCAAGTTGAGAGAGGGGGAGGTGGGCATGGGCTGGGGTCCTGTGGGGGCCAGCATGGGGCTGGGCAGTGAGGAAGTGGGACCTCCCTGGCTGCAGCCTTAGCGGCCAAGTGGCGAGAGGCCTGGGCCATGGGGCGCTTCTTGGTTGGAGACCCTGGAGTTGCGGGGAGGAACGGGGCCACTCTGTCCCCACCTGTGCGCCAGGACCCAGCTGTGCCGGAGCTGCTCCCTGCCAGCTGCTGAGGGCAAGGTCGGGTCCGGCCAGCTGGGGTAGGCCCGCAGGCCACCTTGCAGCAGGAGCTTTGCTTGCTGGCACGTGGAAATAAAGTATCTGCAGGTCACCATGGTCAACCGAGAGCTGTGTGGTTTCTCAGAGCAGGTAGTCACTGGTCCTCACCTCCATGTGCCCAGGGGACAGCAGAGTACTGATCTCTACCTGCTGGGGCAAGGGGTACAGCCTGGCCCCCAGATAGTGGCTGACCCACTGACTCCGCCCTGGCATGGGGACCAGGTGCAGCCCAAGGGCTCCACAGCTCCCCAGGCCAGTCGGAGGCTCTGAGGCTGGTGGAGGAGGACACCTGCCCTCTGGGGGAAATACATGCCACCGTGTCTCCTTTGACCACCAGCACCTCCCTGTGAGGTCAGCCGAGCTCGTGGCCTATCACTCAAGAGGACAGAGGCCCAGAGGGAGGAAGGAGCCTCCTGGGCCTGCCTTCCCCACAGCCCACCTGGGCCCTACCTGGCCCCACAGCTCCCGGTGCAGGCGGACACCCTCAGCCCTGTGGGGCCAGCCCAGCCCTCCCCGAAGCCCTCGTGACTGCCAGGCAGGGCTGCACCCACCCCTGTTTCCTCTCCTGTAAGCTGGGGCCGATCCTGAGAACCCTTCGCAGTGCCGACTGCGCACCCTGTTCCAGGTACCCGACTGTGTTAACTCAGTGAGTCCTTATGACAAGGGCGAGTGAGGCCCCTGGCAAGGTTTACGCAGCTGTCGGGCTCCTAACAGCACAGGTGGCAGGACTGCTGACCCCAGGAGCAGTGTGAGGAGTAAGCTGGTGTGTGTGCTGCTTAGACAGTAATGGCACAGAGTCGAGGCTTAGCAGGTGATGGAAACCGTGGTGTCTTCTTGGTGGGCAGGCTGGCGTGTGCGGGGCCGGGGGTTCCAGTCTGCCTAGAGGTACAGCACAGGTGGTGTTTTCTATGCAGAGGGGAGCGAGGACCAGGCAGAGGGCCAGTTGTATATTCGAGTAGGCATCTGGGGCAGTGTGAGGCCACGGGGGAGGGTCCCTGTCCAGCACCCACAGCTGTGCCCCTGCAGCTGGCCCAGTCCCAGCCTGTTCTTGGTGCAAGGTCTGGGCAGTTCTGGCTTCCCCGTGTCACGGACTCAGGCTGGGACAGGACGGGGTGCCTGTAGCCCACGGTCTCCCAGCACTGGCTGGGGCACCTCGAGGGCCTGAGGAGGGGTCAGGAACTGGGAGGAACCGGGGCTGAGCATCCCTCTTGTCTCCCCCGCAGGAAGCCTGAGAAGGGCGTCCAGTACCTCATTGAGCGTGGCTTTGTGCCCGACACGCCTGTGGGGGTGGCCCACTTCCTGCTGCAGCGCAAGGGCCTCAGCCGGCAGATGATTGGCGAGTTCCTGGGCAACCGGCAGAAGCAGTTCAACCGCGACGTGCTGGAGTGAGTGCTGGGCTGGGGGGCGTGTGCCTGTGCACAGTCCCGGGCTTGCCCTGCTTGTGGAACGTGCCCCAAATCCTCCCCTTGTCTCTTTCTGCTCCTAGACACATGCTCACACATACGTGCCCTATTTGCACATCACACCCTGTCGGGTACATACCTGGGCATCTGCCCTCGGGCACCGTGTCTCAGATGCCGACCTTGCCTGCCCCCCACATGCACCCCATGCCTCTGTCCCACTCCAGCAGGGCCCAGCCCCAATCCTAACACACTTTGAGAGCGAATGGGAGGGGAGTCGGCCGAGCCATCCCAGCGCCTCCTGCCTCTGCTGGCTGGGAGATTTGGGGGTGAGAGCCTAACCCCGACCTCCCGACCCCGCACCCCAACCACCTAGAGAGCTGTCGGCCACAGCACTCTCAGCTGCCTGGAGCCCTACAGAAAGATGAGCTCCCAGTTCTCTGGGGGCTACTGACAGTTTTGAGAAGTGCCACCCAGGATGTACCCTAAATCTCTCTGTTCTTTCTTAAGACTGTCATGAGTAGCAAGGTACCCACGTTTAGACCCTGTTTACTGAGCAGGTGGGGTGTACAGGCCCTGTGTCCTCATCTCACCCACAGGGGTGGGTGTCGGGGTCGCTAACCTCCTTTCACAGATGAAAAGCCAAAGCCAGTGGGATAAGATGGCTTGGAATGAGGGTCCTGCTCACCGCTTGTCAGGACCTGGGGGAACATCCCCAGGCCTGTTGAGGATTTTTCTGATCCAGGCAGCTACACGTTGAGATGGCTGACCCCAGGCTGGCAGGCCAGGAACGAAACCAAAATAGGGTAAAGAGGTAGCCATCAGCGACAAGGGCAGTGACTTCCACCTGTGCAGCCCCTGCCTCATCAGGTGAAAGAGCAAGCGAGGGGGCAGGCAGCAGGCCCCGGGGCCAGGCCTGCTCTGCAGTGAGGAGGGACCTGGCCGCATGCACCTGCTGTCTCACCTGCTTCCCTGGGAGGAGGCAGGCGGGTGCTGGGGCCTCTTTGTTTCACAGGTGAGGAACCCTGGGTTCAGAGGGGGGGAACTGGCCTGGTGCCCCCAACACACAGACTCATGTACGTACTCCGAAGTCACACACCCACCTGTACACACATTCATGCATGTGTGTATTCGCTGGGTTGCACACGCAGGCACCGGTGCAGGAGATGCAGTGAGCCAAGGCCTTTGGTGGTGGCTGGCAAGTGGCTGGCACCCAGCAGAACGGCGTCTGTGCCCCTCCTTGGCCAGGCATGCCCACCTGCTCAGTGTTTCTGTGCTGGCCTCGCTGGGAAAAGCCTGCTGCATTGTTAGCGCCCCTCCCCCCATCAAGCAGGAGTAAGGAGACGGTTCAAGGAGGCAGATTAGCTCCTAGGGAATCAGGCCCAAGACCGTCTTGGTCCAGCCCCACAACCCCTGCAGCCATTCCTGCGCTCCCCCATGGCCCCCTCCCAGCTGGCTCCTGGCCCGCAGGAAATCCGTGCATTGTTCTCCTCAGATCAGAAAATAGCAGCAGCCGCAGGAAGTTGCGAGACCCCCGACCCTCCCCAGCAGGCATCCCCCTCGGGTGCTGGTCAGTAGGTCATCCAATGCGGCCCCGGTCTCGCAGCTGCTCTGCAGCAACCCCAAAAGACTGCTGCCCAGGGTCCTGAGTCCTCAGAAAAGGAGGGTACCACAGGTTCTGTCTGAGCCCATCGCCCACAGTAGAGGGAGAGCCCTGGGAGTGCATGTTAGGCCCCCCATGGCCGAGGCCTCTGCGGCCCCACCAGGAGTGGCCACGGCTTTGTTACAGACAGACACCTGAACCTGCTGTGTGGGTCCCTGGTGCAAACCCCACTTTCTCTGTTCAGGGGTCCCGATCGGAGGATGGAGCAGGCTGTCCTGGGGGTGGGACTGTGATAAGAGTGGAACCAACCAGCCGACTCTCCAACCCCACCTCACCCCCTGCTCGCCTCCTCAGCAGATGGGGATGGCGCAGCCCCTCTGAGATGCTCCTTAAACCCCAGCGAGACCCCGCCACCTCTCCCCGTATCCTTGCTGTGCGAGGACAGGCTCAGTGCGGTCACTGCGTGGCGTTAGTGCTGGGGCCTGCACTTCCTCCTCGTGAGGGTGGAGCGTGCTCCTTGCCCCCTTGCTCACAGGCCCCTCCCTGCACTGACCCCCTCTGCACGCGTGTGCTCCCCTCGCCTAAGGAGGACTGGCAGAGGCTGTGCGGGCAGAGGGCTCTGACATGGCCTTTGTCTCTTGTTCCAGCTGCGTGGTAGACGAGATGGACTTCTCTGCTATGGAGCTGGACGAGGCCCTCAGGAAGTTCCAGGCGCACATCCGGGTCCAGGGGGAGGCTCAGAAGGTGGAGCGGCTCATCGAGGCATTCAGGTCAGCGCCTTGGCATAGCGGGGTGGGTGTCGGGGAGAGGAAGGTCCTGGGCTCGAAGGCCCGTGGCTCAAGGGCCAGAGCCTCCTTCCTCCCCTTCCCCTAGGCAGGGTGGGTGGCCATGAACTTGCTGGGATGAGGCAGCAGCCCCTCCTGAGTGCCAGGCACTGCGCTGGAGCCAGGGTTTTGAGCAGTCTTTGTCTTCCTCCAAGTCCTCGTGAGCCATCATTTCTTCATGAGTGTGTCTGTCGTCACTTATCTGGTTATTCACAAGGGGTAGCTGCTCTCTCACAGTGACTCACACAGCCTCATTCTGACATCCTCTTCACTACCAGCTTTGTGACCTTGCACTGGTTACTTAACTTCTCTGTGCCTCCCATTCTCTCGTTAGAGTGGGGATAACAAGAGCACCTACCCTAGAGAGTGTGGGAGGATTGACCCACTCAGGACATGTTGGCACACTTAGCCCAGTCCTGGCACGACAGAGAGCCCGCAGTCAAGGTCGGCTGTCACTGTGCAGTCTTGGATCTGGGATTGTGTGCACACTGGCTGTGTAGGATCCTGCGTGCTAGGTGTAGGAGACACAAGTCAGCCAGTGACCCAGCCCTCCAGGCTTAGCTCCGGTGGTGGAGCCACGGAGGAGCGAAGATGCAGAAGGAAAAACCCCAGGCCCTGGAAGGGGAACGTTCAGCCACCTGCTTCCAGGGGGGCTTCCTGGAGGGGGCAGCACTCAACGGAGAAGATGGAATTGAAGCCACATCTTCTAAGCTCCGATGGCTGCTGCCTGCTAGATGTAGGCCTTGGTCACAGGGCCCCACCTGGTTCCTCTTCTCCCCCCCTGCCCCTCTCACCCACCCCTCCACAAGGTCACCAGTGGAGGGGGCCTTTTAGGGGTGGGGTTGGGGGTAGGGGAACTGTTTGAGGCAGTGAGGACGGTGGTAAATAGGTGACTTAGTGAGACAGCATGTGTTAGCAAGGCTGTTGGTTCAGCTGCCATAAGAAAGATGCCCCAGCAGCCGTGGGTGAAACTCTATGGAAGTGCATCTCCATCTGAGCTGGTATGAGGAGGCCTTGGCTCCTGTCATCTCAGGGTCCCAGGTGGCAGGTCCATTGCCCACTGTCACATCCCTGTTCCAGGCAGGATGGACACCGTGGAGGGCACACCCTGCCTTTAAGGCGCCACATCCCGTCTGCTCACATCCCAGTGGTTAGCACTTAGCCACGTGGCTGCCCCCAGCTCCAGAGAGACTGGAGAATGTGGTCCTCCCACCCTGGGCAGCCGCTGACAGCTCAGCTACAGGTGACTGGGACATGGCTAACCTGAGAAGGGGCGGGTATGTAGTCGGGGCCAACTCTGCCGGACCCCGTACCAGATGCAGAAACAGGCTCCGGGGGTGCTGAGCGGCCTCGCTGATTAGTGCTGGCCGAGCTGTGGCGGCTGCTCGTGAGTGAGGGGCAGGCGCCCTTCCAGCCCTGAAGGGCGTGGCCCTGACCCTCCTCCCCCCTCCCCCGCCCCCCCCAGTCAGCGGTACTGCATCTGCAACCCTGGGGTGGTGCGGCAGTTCCGGAACCCGGACACCATCTTCATCCTGGCCTTCGCCATCATTCTGCTCAACACGGACATGTACAGCCCTAACGTCAAGCCAGAGCGCAAGATGAAGCTGGAAGACTTCGTCAAGAACCTCCGAGGTGAGCTCCCGGCCGCTGCGCCGCAGAGCCAGCCTCTGAGCAGCCCTGCCGGGTGGGGGACCGCAGGCTGGACACGGGGAGCTGGGCTCCAGGGCAGCTGGCTCTCAGCGGGGCCTCGGGACGAGAGAACGCAGCACCGAGTACTGTGAAGAGCGCAGACTGGGCTACTCAGGCCTGGGCCTGGGGGTGTCGGGGAACCTCAGTCACGGAGGAGGAGATGTTTCAGCTTGTTCCTAAAGGGCGCGCGGGGGTTTGACAGGCCAGGGTGAGGAGTTATTCGCAATGCATTAAGGGAGCAGAGGCCCAAGAAAGCAGCCCGGCACAGGGGTGCCCAGGGAGGCACCCTGTGGGGTCGGAGGAGAACAGCTGCAGCCACAAGGCCGCCGAGCAGGCAGGGCCGGCACCCCTCCTCTGTGCTCCGCGTTCCTCTCCACACTGACCTCTTCGTTTGTGTTTTGCTGAAGCCTCTGTATTTAAAAAAGGAACCGTGCGTCGTCACTCTAAAGGGGAAACCAGTGCTGTGTGCCTCCCCGGTGCTCATTCTGACGATGAGTGCAGTGACGGAGAGCGCTGTGTCTGGCTGGGCCCAAGACCATGGCCAGCTCTCCTCGGTGGGTGGGCCTGTGCTAGGCAGGTGCTGGTGAGGCAGGCACAGGGGCCTCCTCCTGGCAGCGTCCCGTAGGAAGGAGCCAAACAGGGAGCGGCCAGCTCTCTGGTGGCTCTCTTAGCGGACAGCATGTCCCTCGTGCACCTGGCGCCCCTGGAGGGAGGAGAGGGAGGGGCTGTGCCCCCTCCTTGGGAAACGCCAGCTGCAGTGGGCTGAGGTCCCCTAAGAAATGGGATCACATTTTTAAAAAAGGGGAAGCTACTCTGAATCCAGTCCACCTTTGTGAGCTTGCTGAGCCATTTAAATGTTCCACCCTCATCCTTTATTTCTGTAAAACTGCTGTCTGTCACCCCCTCTCCGTGGCAAGATAATTCTCCCTGCAGCATCTCCAGACCCTCCCCGGGTTTGAACCGTCCTAGCGCGCCCCCTGGTGGTGGGTGCCGCCGTAACAGGGCAGCTACCAGGATCTCCGGATGTTTCCCAGAGAGCAGAGGCCACCAGGGGATGGCAGGACGTTGCCTCCCCGGGGTCTGTCTCCAAGACCTGAGCGGGCACAGACAGTCGGGAAGCCAGGCGGCTCGGGCGTGGTTCAGAGCACTCCCTGCGTGTGGCCTTCCCGGCTCTGAGGGGCATCGCAGGCCCCAGGGGAAGCCCGGTCCTGGCTGTGGTTCCTGGGAAACCAAGGAGTCTAGGAGCCTCACTAACGGCAGGTAGAATGGCCAGGAGAGCGAGCGAGGGCGGGCAGAGGACACATCGACGTGCAGGGGTCGTGCACTCCTCCACCCCCTCAGCGCCAGCCCTGGGCCTGTCCAGCCATGAGCCTCGTCCTCTCTGGGCTGAGCCTGTTCTGCTCTTCAGAGTCCACGTGGCCCAGGCGCAGGCCGCTCCGTCACTGCCAGGGGAGCTGGCTGCGTGCTGCACGCTTGGTGACCCTGGGGGCGTTCAAAGGTCTCTGGGATGCGATTAGGATTTTCTTTTTCCTGCCTTTGGCACCTCATCCCTGTAATTTGGGACTCCCCTGTATGAGAAATAACAGAGGAGCCAGAAATGGTTCGCCCAGAGGACGGAAGGCTCAGGTAGGACCGGGCTGCCGAGTCAGATGTTTGCTGGTCAGCCACTCTCATGTCAGTGGCTGGGCTGTTCCCACCAACTCATCTCTTTTAAGTCAGGGACTCGCCGGTGTGCTGCCCCATCTTCCTTATGCTTCAAGAAGGGGCAACCAAGGTTCAGAGAGGGAAGGGACTTACGCGAGGTCCCACAGGAAGTGAGTGTCAGAGGAGGCAGGAGGCTGGCCTCCCAAAGCCAGGCTGGCGCTCTTGCTGAGCACACACCCAGCTTGCTCTTTTCAGAGGACGCCTTCCCCACATGTGCTGGCCACACCCTTTCTCCAGAATCTCTCACTCCAGTTTGCCCTATGGGTCCAGCAGCAGGAGACCCTCTGGGGGGTCCAGGGATACGTGGGGGGAATGACTCAGCATGGGCGCCAGAGAAGCAGGGTTTTACTTTTATTGATAATTGCTTTTATTTTTTTATTTTACTTTATTTTTTAATTGATCACATGTCACTTTATTTATAGATGCCACACATGCAGGGAGAGGGGAGTTAGAAGGAAGAAATCAGGAGGCTTGACAACTTCCTTGGAAGGGTTGTGGTGTTTTCAGTCTTTTTTTTTTTTTTTTGAGGAAGGCTAGCCCTGAGTTAACATCTGCCAATCCTGGGTTGTTGTTTTTTTTGCTGAGGAAGACTGGCTCTGAGCTAACATCTGTGCCCATCTGCCTCTACTTTATATGTGGGACGCCTGCCACAGCATGCCTTGCCAAGCAGTGCCATGTCCGCACCCAGGATTCGAACTGGCAAACCCTGGGCCGTCAAAGCAGGAACGTGCGCACTTAACTGCTGCGCCACTGGGCCGGCCCCTTCATTGTCTTAAGAAGAATTGAGGGGCTGGCCCCCTGGTTGAGTGGTTGAGTTCACGCTCTCTGCTTCAATGGCCTGGGGGTTTGTCGGTTTGGATCCTGGCCACAGACATGGCACCAATCATTGGGCCCTGATGGGGCGGTGTCCCACATAGCACAACCAGAAGGACCTGCAGCTGAAGTGTACGGCTGTGTACTGGGGGGCTTTGGGGAGAAGAAGAAAAGGAAAAAGGAAAAGGAAGATTGGCAACAGACGTTAGCTCGGGTGCCAATCTTTTAAAAAAAAAAAAAAGTTGAGCGGGAGGCAAAAAAAATAAAGGTTAAAAAAGAGAAAAATGTGGGAGCTGGAGATATTTGAGTGGTCAAAGTTATAAAGAGATGGCTGGGAAGGTGACCGAAAAATAGAAAGTAGAAAAATCAGCCAATTCTCCACTTACTGACGCCGACTAAATCTTCTTAACTGAACTTCTTACTGAAGAAAATAATAAAATCAAAACAAAGGGGCAGGAAAAAGAAAAAAGATACTGTCCGTACTAGTCTCTTCTATCCCCACATGGGCAGCCACTAATCTGTTTTTGCCACTGTAGTATTTCCCGCTCCAGGCATTCCTATAAATGGAACTATATAGTATGTAGTCTTTTGTGTCTTTTTTCTTTCATTCAACATAATGTTGAAATGCATTCATGTTGTGTATATCTTGTGTTCGTTCCTTTTTATGGCTGAAAAGTATTCCCGTGTGTGGGAATCATGGCAAATCATTCCACCACGTGACCTTTTGTGTCTGGGTTCCCTCACTGACAAGATCTTTGTGGAGATGAAGAGCAGAAAGAATTCGCATTGGTGCTTGTAGAAAGACCTTGGGATTCCAGAATGGGAGAGAGGCAGTATATATTGGCAGTCCCCGAAATGAACTATTTTGTGGCCAACAAAGTGGTCTGTGGGAGCCTTCACATTGGGGCACAGGCGGAGCTGGAAGGCAGGCATTGGGTGCTCTGGCTAAACCAGGGGTGCAGGTGGCCCGTGAGGGGATCCGGGAGCTGCATCCGTGTCTGTCTTGGAAGAGCTGGCCTTGCCTCCTGCCTCCGCTAACTGCTGTTGGGGAGCTTCTTGTTTTTGCTGAGTAGGCTTGTGCTTGGCTCTCCTGAGTTTTGCTCTGGGGTTCTGGAACCACACCTGCACTGCTGGCGGGTGTGTCTCCCTTTCTGAGGCCGTTTCTTTCTGAAGGCTGGGGCTCGGGTGGGGGTTCTTGTTGAACAGGAGCTGCAAACCTGCTGATTGTTTCTCAGGGAACATGGTTCCTTTCCTTTGTGGATACTTCTGGTGCTTCCCTTCAGGAAGGTCCACGGGGTCAGACATCGTGTAACCTAGATGTGTTCCTGTGCTCTGGTCCAGAGACAAGAAGACTATTGGCAATTGTTTTTAAATTTTTTTAATTTATTTTTTGAATGGGTATTATCTTCACATAGTTTAAAGACCTGAAAGTAGTATGACCCCGTGATTGTGCTCCTTGGTATTTACCACGTGAGTTGAGAACTTATGTCCACAGAAAGCCCTGCACACAGAGGTTTACAGCAGCTTTTTCACAATTGCCAAAACTTGGACGCAACCGAGATGCCCTTCAGTAGGTGAAGGGGTAAATCCACTGTGGTGCATCCAGACGGTAGGCTGTTACTCAGCACTAAAAAGAAATGAGCTACCAAGCCGCGAAGAGACATGGAGGAGGGGCCAGGCCGGTGGCCGAGTGGTTAAGTTCGCACGCTCCGCTTCAGCGGCCTGGGGTTCACAGATTCGGATCCTGGGTGCAGACCTACACACCGCTCATGAGCCATGCTGTGGCAGAGTCTCGCATACAAAATAGAGGAAGAGTAGTACAGATGTTAGCCCAGCGACAATCTTCCTCACCAAAAAAAAGACACAGAGGAACCTTAAATACATATTACTAAGTGAAAGAAGCCAATCTGAAAAGGCTGCACACTGTAGGATTCCAACTACATGACATTCTGGACAAGGAAAAACTGTTTAGACAGTGGAAAGTTCAGTGGGTGCCAGGGGTGAGGGTGGAGGGAGAGCCGAATAGGCAAAGCACAGAGGATTTTTAGGGCAGTGAAAATCCTCTGTATAGTATTGTGATCGTGGATCCATGTCATTGTACATTTGTCCAAACCCATAGAGTGTGCAACACCGAGCGTGAACCTCATGCAAACTGTGGGCTCCGGGGGATTATGATGTGTCAGTGTAGCTTCATCAGTTGTGACGAGCCTACCACTCGGATGGGGGAGGTTAACAGTCCAGGAGGCTGTTAGGGAGCTGGGGGTATATGGGAAATCTCTGTGCTTTCCCCTCAATTTTTCTGTGAACTTAAAACTTCTCTAAAAAATAGTCTATTTAAAAAACGAAACAAAACCCAGAAAGTATAAAAGGTGGTAGCAGAGGCCCCCACCCTCCACCCCCATCTGGGCACGCCGTCTCCTCCTGGACGTGGGCAGCATTTAGTCCTGCTGTCCTGCCCACAGGGCCTCTGCTGCACAGGCGTGGACGTGCATGAATGCTTTACTCTCGTGGGTTTGCACCTTGCTTTTTTCGTCTAATAAATCTAGGAGATAGTTTCGCGTCGTTCGCCGTGGCCTCCTTCGCTGTTCCTGGCGGGGACACAGTATTCTGTGGTGCTGATGTGCGGTGGGTAAATGGCTTCGTTCCGGTTGTCTGCTGTTTGTGGATAGAGATGCAGGATGCTGCAGTGAATAACTTTGGGATATCATGTCCCGTGGCATCCGTTCCCCAAGTGCAATCAGTGGGCCAGAGAGTGCTGGAAAGTGTAATTGTGATGGGCAGTGCGACACTGCCCGCCAGAGGGTTGATCCCTTTCACATCTGCCGCAGTCTGGGAGGGCACCGGCCCCACAGACTCGCCCCAGAGCACCGTACCAAACCGCTGGGCTTTTGCCAGTCTGCGGTCTGAGGGTGGACGTGGGTTTGCATTTCTCTCCTGAGCAGCGCTGGGTTCTCCTCATAGCAGTTGTCCAGGGAGGTGTAGCAGAAAGGCTTGTTGTCAGAGCAACCTGGATGGAGTCCCCGCCCCCAGCTTCTGCCCACGTGCTGTGGGACAACAGCCGGCCACACCCCTCGGCCGCTCGGGCTCTCCCTTGCTGGGGCATGCCACGAGCTGCTCTCGCTTCCTCACAACAGCCCTGTGAAGCCGCCTGTGCTCTTGGTGGCCCGTTACACAGAGGACTCCCAGCTCAGAGAGACTGAGTCACACGGCCAGTAAGGGGTGACGCGAGGACTTGGGCCCAGGCCTGTCAGAGCCTGAATGCTCAAACCCCGACTACACAGCCTCCCCCGACCCCAGCCCCTTCCCCAGGCCTCAGCCTTCCCATCTGTGGAATGGCGATAGTTATTGCCACCCTACAGGGCCGTGGTCAGGATCGAGCAAGGGACTATTTCTAAAGCCCTCTGAGCACAGCTAGAAGGTGGCACAGGGGTTCTGTGCTGGTGCGGGGCGTTGTGCTGGCCTTGCCCCTGGAAGGATTCTGAGGAAATTTGTAATTCACTGAAAACGTTCCATAGCTGTGGGACTGGAGGGTCTTCGATTCTTTTGGGGACTGGTTAAAGGGGTCGCTGTTCTGATTTGGTTGAGAAACTGGTAAATCAGGGGTGAGCCTGGGACCTGAGGCTGGATGGAGCCACAGCCACCTCGGCCCCCGCCAGACCTGATGCCTGGCCGCTGTTCCCTGCCCAGGGGTGGACGACGGCGAGGACATTCCCCGGGAGATGCTGATTGGCATCTATGAGCGGATCCGAAAGCGGGAGCTGAAGACCAATGAGGACCATGTGTCCCAGGTGCAGAAGGTGGAGAAGCTCATTGTGGGGAAGAAGCCGGTATGTGGTGGCCCCGAGTCGCCAGGGGAGCCGCTGGGGGAGGCCCGAGGTGCTCGCCCCCACCTACCCACCCTCTCTGCGTGACCCAGGTCCGCCCTACTGGCTTTGGCCTCGGCCGGTGGCCCTGGCACCATTTGGAACTGGCTCCTCCAGGCAGGGGTTGGTGACTGATTCAGGTTTTCTGTGTTTTAAGTGGCTCCTAATATTTGGGAATGACAACTGTTGGCTCTGGGTTATATTTGAAGCGAACCTGAGGCTCTTAATAAACCAACAGCCAGGGTTGTGCAGTGGTTCTTTGGTGACCTGGGAATGCCCTCGAAGTCCCCCAGAGCCTGCCAGAGAGAGGGTCCCCTGGCCTGCTCCATGTGGCATGGCTGGAGAGAGCAGAGGGAAGGGGCGGGGGGTGGGGGGGGCGCACTCACCTCCTGGGTGTCGTCCTGTTAGCTCCCCGGGCCCAGATGCATCTTCCGAACATAACATCTTTTTGCGTGTTTGCTCTTCCCCATCTAGATTGGATCCCTGCACCACGGCCTGGGCTGCGTGAGTATCCCTCTCTTTCACGTTCCGGCGGGACCCCGCCCTGGGGGGCCAGCTTGTCCTCCCCCTGCTCCACATCTCCCAGCTCCCAGATCTGTGTTTCTGGCTGCAGGAGTTCATTTCCAGAGCAATAAGAAATTTGATTTTCCTAAGTATCCCAGCTGTGAATCTCTGTGGGCCCAGAGACCACAGCCACACGGGGAGGGCTGTGCTGTCAGGCCGAGAGCAGACAGACAGAGCCCGAGACAGGCCTGAGCATGAGACCTGACACTGAGAGCTTCCCCAGAGAGACCATGGCCCTTGGACGCTCCCATGACCTGCCCTCACCCACCTCCAGCCCCACGTCCCACCAGCCTCTCTTCTTCACACTTTTGCTCCAAACGATGCTGCTCCTTGAGCATGCCAGGCCAGGCCACACGGTTCCCTCCCCTTGTCATGAATTCGTGATGTGCTGATCTCGGGCGTCCCTCCGCAGGGCGCCCCTCAGAGTTAACGCTCCCTGCTTTCCATCGCACTTGTCTGGGTGTGTCCCGTCTCTTTACTAATGTGTCTGTCTCCTGCATGAGCCTGGGCCCTCCCAGAGCCACAGCTGGGCCTCCTTGATGGTCTGTCACCATGACCCTTACACGCCAGCTGAGTTGTGCCTGGTCTTGAGGGTGGCTTGGGCTTCAGTGAGTGGGGGGCTCACGTGAACAGCCAGGGTCGTGCAGGCAGGTGTGTCCAGAGGCTGTGTGCAGAGCGGAGGCCCAGGTCAGGCCCTGCCGAGCAGCACCTGCTGGCTCAGGATTTTGGATGGGATCTCAGGCATCAGAGCCGTGAAAGTCCGTTAGGAAGGGCCTGGGAAAGTAGGAAAGCTCCGGGGCCTGGAATCGGCTCCTGGCTCTGCACCTTCCAGGGGTGGCTGAGGCAAGTTGCTCAGCCTCTCTGTTCCTCAGCTTCCTCACCTGGAATAGACCCCTCCAGAGATATGTTTGCAGGGACTAATGCGCTTGTGTGTGTGACGGGCGCTTTGTGGGGCTCTGAAAACATGCCCTCCTCCCTGCCTGGGGCTCCCTGTGAGTGTGATGTGCTCAGAAGTCTGGTCCGTGGCTGGAAGAGTCAGAAGGAGGTCTCAGCAGAGGCAGGATGCTCCCGTGGTCCTTCAGGAGACTCCTGGGGACAGGGGCGGGAATGGCCGCAAGCCAAGTAACATGCTCCATTCTGGACAGTTTCCCAGAGAAGACGTTTCACACATGAGGCCTGCGGGCTGGGGCCCTGGCCTGCAGGCTGGACTCCCGTGCCACGGGGCCCCAGGGGGCAGCACCAACAGCAGCACTGCCTCTCCCCATGCAGGTGCTCTCTCTGCCCCACCGGCGGCTGGTCTGCTACTGCCGGCTCTTCGAGGTTCCCGACCCAAACAAGCCCCAGAAACTCGGGCTGCACCAGCGAGAAATCTTCCTGTTCAACGACCTCCTGGTGGTATGTGGTTCCCGTGGGGTGAGGTGGCTGAGCGCATGGCACTGGGAGACCTGGCGGTGTGCCTGCACACAGTGGGCAGTGGGGGGCAGAGGCCAGGGGTCGGGAGGCAGAGGGCAGGGGTGGGGTGAGCGCAGGGTCTTTGGGTTACAAGGGACAGAATCCTGCTCAAACTGCTGCCCATGAAAGCGGGCTTCACTGGCTCCTGTAAGAGGCCAGAGCGGGTTGGAGTGTCGGCGCCAGCTGTTCCAGAGGCCCTGAATCAGCAGGGCTCCTTTTTATGGCCTCCAGCTCTCAGCTGTACGGGCCCTCCCCTCCGCCGGCTCCCTTGCCAGGCAGCTCCGTCCAGGAAGACAGTCAGCTCCACCAGTGGGAGTCTCTTCCTCGTAATCTGAGAAGGGTCCCCTGCCTCCCGCCCCGCGCCTGGGCCGGTCCCCGGGGCCAGCAGGTGCAGTGCTGTCTCGTTGGCTAAGCCTGGCCAAAGCCCACCCCCCGGACTGATGGACAGAAAGTGGCAGAGAGGGAGCTCCCCAAAGGGAAGGCGAGGAGCTCTTGCCTGGAAAAAGGTAGCATGGACGCCAGCCAGGGGAGTGAAGACGCCCCTGCGGAGAGCGGGGGAGCCTGTCCTTCGGCTCTGTCCCTCCTGCGCACCACGGGCTCCCCTGCCAGAAGGCCCTGTCCCTGACCTCTGAGTGCTTGATGGCACCAGGACCCGCTGTTTCTCTCTGCTTCCTGAGGCTGGAAGTCAGACATGTGGGTTCAAGTCCTTTACTGAGAGCGCCTGCCTTTGGGAAAGTCACTTCAGATCGCTGAGCCTCGGTTTCCTCCTCTGTAAAATTAATCCCTCAGAGGGTGACAGTGGGCAGATAGGGGCCTGGACATAAGAGCCTTGCCTAGTGCCATCGGAGCTGGGCACGGTGACATGCCTACCACCTCTGCTGGGTTGAGAGGCTTTGTTGCCGGCCAGGATGGCACCAGGGTCTCGCACCGGTGTCCGCATCACGGTGCAAATGGGCACGCATTCCTCCCCATGTCCACCCTCCCCCGCGCCGACGGCCTCCTGACCTCTGAACTGCAGGGCGCACTCACGCAGGACGGTGTGGTTGCCGTCGAGTCTGCTCAGGACCCTGGCTCCCAGTGCTGCTCCAAGGCAGGGTGGGCCGTGTGGCTCAGCCTCTGTCTCTGGCTCCCCCAGGTCACCAAGATCTTCCAGAAGAAGAAGAACTCGGTGACGTACAGCTTCCGGCAGTCCTTCTCCCTGTACGGCATGCAGGTCCTGCTCTTCGAGAACCAGTGTAAGTCTGTCCTCGGGCCGGCCTGGCCTGGCAGGGGCCGTGTCCCCTGGAGCACTTGTCCAGGCTCAGCCTGCACCCCGTGTGGCAGGAGATAGCCTCACACCGCTCTAAGTGCCTAACGAGTTAGCAGCCTCCTCCCATTCTCTCTCCTTCCTCCTGGGTCCATCGAGGACAGAACCCTGGGGTGGCCTCTCCCGTGCTCTCTTCGTCCCACTTTCCCTCAGGGCAGAGCACGGGCTCGGTGTCTGATAAGCACAGCAACTAGGAAGAATTTCATAACACCACACTGGGTGCTCACCAAGGTTACTTTGTCACTTCTTGTAGGTGGTAAGATTTTTTAATTTAGGGCAGAGTGAGTTTATTTAAATAAAATATTGATAGGAAAACATCAAGTAAATAGCATAGGTGATATGCAGATACAGACGGACAAACAGGGGGAGGTGAAGGCTGAGGGGCTGCAGAGGTCAAGAGCTGAGCCCCACACCCGAGGGCTGGGCGCAGACCCCAGCTCCACGGTTAGCAGCTGTGTGGGCTGGCTGTTCAACCTCCCTGGCTGCGTCCCCTTATCTATAAAACGGGGGGAGGACAGTGCACCTCGCAGGATCAGATGAGTCCACGCCCGTAAAGCGCTGGGGGAGCCGCTGGCACAGAGGACGTGCTTAGTCGGGGTTTATTCCTCGGTGCCGTTAGAAAGCCTTCTTGGGTGTAAGGGTGTCATGGGGGCCTGGGGATTTCGGAGGGGAGCTGGCTCCCCCAGGACATCCTGCTGACTTTTCTTTTGACCTTGCTCCTTTTGCTGCCGGTGCCCTTCCTTTTTCCTCTCTCCCTCTTTGTCCCTTCCCTGTTGGAGGTCCCTGAGCTGCATGCTGGGCCAGTCCTCCTGAGATGGGTGGGGGCCTGCCGCCCAGCCTGTCCTAGAGTGGCCCGAGGGGAGGACTGCCCAATGGAGCGTCACCGTGTCTCCAGCAGCAGGGAGGCCTCGTCCTTTAGGACAGGTCTCCAGGGCACTGCCTGATAGGCCCTCCATCTGCAGGTTGAGAGAGGGCCAGGCCTATGGCTGGGCCATCCCAAGGGCCTGGGATTGCGGTTCTTTATCCCTTCTCTATCCCAAATTGGCCCAGCACCTGCCTGGCCCCTCCTTTCTCAGGTGCCCACAAGAAGCCCTGGATGCTGACCCCGCCATCCATTTCCCCATCTCTTGCCTTGTCTACCCTACCCTAGGCCGGAAGACACACCTTTCCTTGGTTTTTTCATCAGACGGCACCAGAGAGGTTGGTGCACTGTCCCGACCAGCAGGCCCCGTCTCACGAGGGGTGGTGGCAGCAGTGATGCTCCCAGCAGTGGGCCTGACCAGACTGAATCCCCGGACAGAGGCTGCACCCGGATCATTTTCAGATTCCCAGGGCTTGACTCTTGGTCCTGGAGACAGATGCTGGCAAGAGCCAACCCTGACACTCCTATAGGACCTGCCTTCACACTAGGGGTCTCAAACTGGCAGCCTTTGGGTCAGTCCCAGCTCAGTTATGTTATATTTGATTTGCACAGTTTTTTAAGTTTGTTGAGCTGATATTTAATCTTCACATTAAAATTGAGATACTTTTGGTTTCTCTTGAAAAGTGAGGTGTGGCATCCCTGGGCCCGCAGTCCCCCGCAGCGGCTGGCCGCGTGCTGCACCCCTCCCCTGGCCCTCTCCCGCTGCTCCGTCTCACCTGGCCTGCATCCTGCATTCTGGGGGCCGCTCGGGCCTCAAGGCATTTGAGTTCCCAGCCTTGACCTAGGCCAGGTGAGGTCTGGTTTGGGCCAAGAGCCTTCAAACACCCCGTGGCTGATGCTCAAAATTCCCCCTCACAAGAGAGGCACTGCCGGGGGACCAAAGGCCCAGAGACCCCTTGAGCCTGGAGGTGGGACCCGACAGGACTGAGCAGAAAGACGCTGCGCTCAGCATAGAGTGTGTGGGGTGTGGGGCGCCCATAGTGCACCCCCAGGGAATTGGGGGTCTGGAAGCCATTGGGAGAGAACTGAGCTCAATCTGGTTTCAGAATCGTCGGAGGCAACTGGATAGGACTCTCCACCCAGCACAGGACACTGCGTATCTCCTGGACGCAGCACCTGGCCACTGTCTCAAGCCCCAGGCACAGTGACCAAGGACTCAAATTGGAGGGTCCAGGGCTCCATGACCATCAGGTCAGGGGAAAAATGAGAGCCCTGGCTTCCCCTCAGATGGGCCAGATCTGCCCCCAACTTACGAATGGAGAACACGGACCCAAGTAGGGAGATGGGGAGTGTCGTGTGGCCCCTCGGCGTGCCCTGTGAAAGCCTTTCCTCGTGGTGCCACGTGTCTGCTGAGAGCCTGGGCTCTGAGCGCTTCTCATGCCTGTCTTCAATTTAGACTTGCTAGTATTTTCCTGACCAGAGGCAGATTGTGGAGAACACGCTGAGACCATGGGCTCTTCTCTCCTTGTTTTTTGCAGACTACCCCAATGGCATCCGGCTCACGTCTGCCGTCCCCGGAGCAGACATCAAAGTGTTAATAAACTTTAATGCTCCCAATCCTCAAGACAGGAAGAAATTCACCGATGACCTGCGGGAGTCCATCGCGGAGGTGCAAGAGATGGAGAAGCACAGAATAGAGTGTAAGTCAGACCTTCTGGAGGGGAAGAGCCAGCAACCCTGGCATCTCTCAGAACTTTCTGGACTCAGGCCTTGCCTCCCATCTGGCGGCCCTGACGGCAGTCAGAGACCCATGGAGCCCACAGAAATGAGATGCCCCGGTCTCTTCTGGCCTTTCCCTGGCCACGTGACCAGGCAGCCCACATACCTAGGCCACAGAAGGTACCACAGAGGGGAGAGGAAGGGACAGAGGCCTCCTGGTCAGAGCCAGGGCTTCAGAAACCCAAGCCTGTCCTGCCTCTGGGACCACATTGCATGCCCTGAGCTGGGCCCCTGGTTCCCTGGTCACCCCATGGGACAAGAGCTTCCAGAGTCCTGGAGCTGAGTTCTTTGCACTTGCGCATGGCTGTTATCTATTGGTCTTCTGCATCATGGCCCGGCCAACTGATGGGGTCACAGCTGAGGCCATCCCCTGGGTTCCATTAAAGCTGATTATAACCCTGCTTCCCCTGGCTCCAAGCCTCACTCCTTGAAGGCACACGGGTGTCCCCACCTGTGGCCCCCATCTACGGCAAGGTCAAGTCAACCTTGCTTATCTCCAGACCCAGGCAAGTCTGTCTCCTTGTCAACCCTGGAGCCTGAAGCGACTGTCTTTCCCACAAACCACGGGGCCCTCTGGCCTCTCTGCCCTCCCTCCCAGGGTCTCCTTTCGGCTCCCTCTTTTTGAAGGTAGCCATTACACCTTCTCTTCCCAAGACAACCCTTGCTCCTTCCAGGCAGATGGCCATGTGGTGCAGTGCCAGCCCTGCACAAAGGGCTTTGGGCCTCTGTGTTGCCCTCCTGACGTGGGTCCTAGCCCTGTACCCACCCAGGCTGCCCTCTCCAGGCCGTGCTCCTCTCACTGGGCCCCTCGCCCCTCTGTTTCAGCGGAGCTCGAGAAGCAGAAGGGCGTTGTGCGGCCCAGCATGTCCCAGTGCTCCAGCCTCAAAAAGGAGTCAGGCAACGGGACGCTGAGCCGGGCCTGCCTGGACGACAGCTACACCAGTGGCGAGGGCCTCAAGCGCAGCGCCCTCAGCAGCTCCCTGCGGGACCTCTCCGAAGCGGGTAAGAGCTGGACCCAGGGCCAGCGTCCTAGCCCAATGCATGCAGGACTCAGACTGGGCATCAGCGGTGGGGCATGCGTTGTGCCCGGGAAGGGACTGAGGTGGTGGCCCCCAGTGGCAGGGCTCAAGCAGACCACTGTTTCCCGTGACCCTCCCAAACCACAGCAGCGTCTGACCTTACAGACAGGGCATCCCCAAAAGGCAAAAGGAACAGGACCGAACTGTCAGAGGCAGAACAGCCATGTTATCCCCACTCTCCCTTTCTTTTTCTCGGGGTTTTATTTATTCTTTTATTTATTTTCTGAAACTGCTCACACAGGGCAAGCCAGGCCGTGCTGACAGGTGTGTCCCGTGTACTCTGTGCTGCCACGTCCCTGTGTTTTATGCTGATGAATGAAATGGAGTGAAGCCCTCTAAACTGTCTGGAGATGTCCTCTCCCGCTGCCCCTGGTCTTGCTTTCCCCGCACAGGTCTTCCTGGGAAGCCCGGGCCTCCGTCCAGCCCAGAGGCGATGGCCACGGCTGGCTCTGGGATGTCAGGGGAGAGCCCTGGCAGAAACTGTGGTTTTTGTTGCTGTTGTTTCTTTGTTTCTGTGTGTGTTTAATTTGCTGCCAGCCTCTTAAACCCAAGAAAGCAGCACTCCTCAAGCCTCCCAGATTTCCCGGGGCAAGGTGTCCCTGGAGCGTCAGGGAGCAGGGAGCTTCTGTGGGCAGCCTTCACTGGCCTGGTCCTCTCGGCTGGGGCAGGTGAAGGAGGGAAGCGTGGGAGCAGAACCAGCCAGAACCTGTGAGCCCTGTTCCAGCCTGCTTTGCCTACTGGCGCTGCCAGAGGAGCTGTGAAGTGAGGGGTGCACCCCAGCAGCCCCTTACTCCCCGCCCTAGTCGTGTCTAGCTGGTCAGCTTCTCCAGGGAGGAGGCTCAGGGGCTACGAGGGAGCAGAGGTTGCAGGGCATTGTTGCACAGTGTGCGCGTGGCTGGGCCGGCCCTGTGGGCTCCCAGGACCCTAGGCTCTACCTACCCCGAGGCCCCGGGTGCCCCTCCCCAGGAGACTGACACAGCCCCTGATTGCTGAGGGACGATCTCAGGCCAAGATTGGCCTCCTCCCCTCCTAGGGGCTCGCTCACTCCACCCTGCCTCAGGCATCACCGCGTGGCCAGCTCTGGGCTCCCCTAAGAGAGCGGCTCATGACTCCATCCCACACCTGCCCCGCCAGCAGCACTGCCTGCTCCCTTCAGCTTATTCATTTTTCAGAAATTTTTTTTTCTCTTCTTTTTTTTTTTTTTTGAGTTAAATTTTTTCCTTTGCTTTTTTTGTCTTGTCTTTTTTTTTCATAGTAAAAATCAGCAATCCATCACCAGCATGAGGGTTAACCAGGGTTTCTCAACCCCAGCACTGTTGACATGTTGGGGCAGATAATTCCTTGCTCTGGGGACTGTCCTGTGCATGATGTTTAGCAGCATCCCTGGCCTCTCCCCACAAGATGCCAGTAATACTCCCCAGTCATGACCATCGTTAGTGTCTCTAGAAATTGCCAGGTGTCCTCAGTTGGCAAAATTGCCGCTGGTTGAGAAGCACTGGTGTCCCCATGGCTTGTTAAACCCAGCTAAGCTTAAGTGGACAGCTCTGGGCCTCTGCTGGCTGGGGCCGAGCCTGTGTTTGAGTTTGTGCAGTGGGGCAGGCTCTGGCCTCTCTGTCCCCTGATGAAGCCCCTGGAGGGCCAGGGCCTGCCCTGTCCAGCCCCTCAGGGAGCAGTGGCTCTGTTGGAACCAAGGCTCTCAGCATGGCCAGCCACACCCACTCCGGGTCCTGGTAGTCAGGACCTCAGCTGTCCACTCTCTGCCAGAGCTTAGGGGTCAGACATACCCACGTGTGCAGGCCCACAGCCATGTGAGGGATGGAGCTCCAAGGGTTGGTTGATTGCCACTTATTGTTACTATTGCCATTGTCATTTGGGGATTCTGAGCTGAGAAGGACACCACTGATTGAGTCTTCTCAGGGCCTGAAACCACAAGGAAAAGAATCCCCAGGAAAGAAAGCCCCCTGCACCCAGGGAGGTTGGAGGGCTAGGTGAGTCTAGCAGCTGCCAAGGCCCAGACTGGGGATGGGCCACCTGCAACCTCCAGAGGCAGACAGGCGAATGTCGGCAGGCTTCCCTGAAGATTCTGGGCTTGGCAGCTGGAGACGTGAAATTATCTGCTCTCCAGAGGCAGCATCACTCCCACCCCCCATGGCCCTCACCAAGAAGAGCTTGTCAAGAAGAGGCAAGGCCTTGGGGGCAGCCTCTCTGCTCAGGACACTCAGTGGTCGGCATGTCATCACTCTCAGAGCAGCTGCCCTGGCCTGCAGTCACACATGCATCCAGGAGACAGCACACAGGAACGTGGCCCCAGCCCGGCGTGAACCCTGGCCATGGGAGAAGCAGTTGCAGTTTGCTGGGCCTGGGGGAAGCCCAGCAGCAGATGCCTCCAGGAGCCCCTGACGTTCCAGAGCTAGAGGGAGGGGCCTGACCTCCAGCTCCAGCTCCCGGCTCAGCTTCCAGGCCTTGCCTTCTGTCTCTCCACATGGCCTTCCTTTGGCCAGGGCCCCAGGCTCATTTCAGTGGCACCAGAGCCCTGCTGGCCAGAAATCAAGGACCTGCAGGAACTGTGACCAGAGGCGTGACTGGGCCTTAGTCCCTTTCCCAGATCAGTCAAGTCCTGGTGCACACTGTCCATGGGTCTCTGAGTCCACAGCAGTCCCCACAGAGAGAACGTCTCCCAGGGGCTAAAAGACCTGTCTGCACCTGTCATCAGCCCAGGGGGAGACCTGCTGGGTCCTGCACCAGGGCCAGCCTCTCTGGGGAGAGTTGGCAGCTCTTGGCGGCCAGTTTCCAAAGCAGCACCTGCTACCCAAGGACAGGCACTCTGCACAGGAAATGCACTGGGGCCACACTCAGGATGGCCACCGAAGCAGAACCCAGCAGAGGGCACACAGCACATGGGTTCTGGAGTAACATCCATGAGATCATCTCCCCTCCACCTGCCGCTCATGAGCTGTCTGGCCCTGGATAAGTTATATCTCTGGGCCTCAGTTTCCCCATCTGCAAGGTGGGGACTAGTACTGCACTCCAAGAATCTCTGTGAGAGTCAACGCCTGCAAAGCATTCAGAGCAAGGCCTGGCACAGCGTGCGTGGCTGTTGTCGCTGAGTGGGTGCCCCTCAGCCCCTAGCCTTGCTAAGGGCCAAAGCAAGACCTCTGGGCAGCGAGCCCTGCCTGGATCCTGTCCTGACGCTGAGAGCAGGGGAAGGCTGTGAAGAGCCGTGCCAGGAGCCCCTTCCACACATGGTCCTGATCCCAGCCGTGGCGGGCTGGCAGGGCCTGGTCTGGCTCTAGGAGAGGCTGGTCCAGGATCCAGAGGGAGGGGAGGTACCTGGACGGAGAGTGCAGTGAGGGGTGCGTGGCCACATGGGCACGAGCCCCTGTTCCGGCATGCTCCGCCTCCATGAGTAGATGGTGTGTGCTTGTGTGCACATGTGCACACCTGGACGCGCGTCTGTAGTGGGCAGCTGTCTGTGGGTGTGCCTGGGGGCGGGGCTCTGGGACTGGAGCACAGAGCGCTCCTGTAGGGACACCCACGTCTCATGCGGATCTAGGAGGTTGGAAAGATGAATTCTAAGAAGCTCAGCGTCATTCAAAGACATCCAAGTTAACGCTCTCCTAGAAAAGCCAAACTCTTAAGTCTTGGCCCAAACTGGGAAGGGGGAGGGGGAGGAGGGTCTTGTTCAACTCCCGGTCAGCACCGTCTGAAGCCCCAGACCTAGCTCCAGGCCTGGCCCAAGTCCTTTCAGCAGCAGCAGGCGACTGGCATGTGCTGCTGGGCGCTGGCGGAGCAGGCTATCTTTCCTCCGTCTCTGGTGTTTAGTCAGTCAGAGGAGTCCCCAGGCCTAAGAGGGGCCAGAGAGCAATTTAAAAACCCCAAAGACAGCAGACGTCTGGGCTTAGCACTTCCACGTGGTACTGCAGCATCCCGAGTGTCTGATGCTTGTGGCCACCCCAGGAGGGAGGCATGCCCATTTCACAGATGCAGAAACGGCCATAAAGAATCGAAGGAGTGGGGCCGGCCCCGATGCCAAGTGGTTAGGTTCGCAGGGTTTCGCCAGTTGGGATCCTGGGCATGGACATGGCACCACTCATCAGGCCATGCTGAGGCGGCGTCCCACATAGCAGAGCCAGAAGGACCCACAACTAGGTAGGATATACAACTGTGTACTGGGGGGCTTTGGGGAGAAGAAGGGGGAAAAATGCATGAAATCTTAGGAAAATCACAATTAAATTAAAAAGGAAAAAAGAATCGAAGGAGTGCCAGATGAGGTCACCCCCCCAGCCAAAGACCCTAGGGAGGCTAGACTCTAACTCTCTGTCTCCCTGGCCACTGTTGAGGCAGAAGACAGGAAGGGAAGACGCTCAGCCCCTCTTCTCGCACGTGAGGAAATGTGACCCTCATCTCTTCCGGCTGGGAACAAGCCAGGCCCTGCTGGTTCTCCTGGTCCTCAGCAGCTGGTAGAAAATGCTCTTGCCCACGTCCACTGTGTGGCCCTGTCCTGAATGACCTCTGAGACCCTCTCCCACATGCCAGAGTCCAGCAAGGCCTTCTCTGGAATCAAGACTCCCAGCTGGAACCCAGGGTTGGGATCAGCAGGCAAGGCAAAGGGACCAGACCACCCCAAGCCTGCTGTTGTATGCCCAGGACCAAGGCCCTGTCCCAGGCATGGCCCAGCATGCTCAGGTGCCACCGTGAGGCTCAGAGGACCCACAGACACCCTCTCCACCCAATGTGGGGCTGGGGTGTGGGCCACAGGGAGGCACATGGCAGTCTCCATCTTCTAGGCTCCTGGGCCTGGCTTGGGGCCAGCTCAGAAAGCAGCATGGCCAAGATTTCCAGCCTCAGAGTTGGATGGACAGACCTGGGTGTGAACTCTGCTGACTGTGGGAATTGAGCCAGTCAGTCCATCAGCCAGGGTCTCCATCTTTTCTTCCTTGGCATGGACAGAGGGACACCTGTCCTGCATCATTGCAGGGCTTGACGAAGAACTGGCATGGTGCTCAGCTCATGGCCAGGGCTGCACAAATGGAAGGCTAGAGAACGTCAAGAGGGAAAGCCTTTCTCTGCCCCCTCTTCACATCCATGTTCTCAGAGTGCTGGCCGGAGACCAGACCCCTAAGCTTGGGCAACATCATTCCCACTGGCGTCAATGTCCTGCAGAAATCCATGGAGAATCCTCTGGAGGGACTGTGGAGGCCTGGCTGGGCCCTGGGCATCCAGGACCAAGAGAAAGACTCAGCCTTCTTCTGACAGCCAACACATATTGCGTGCCTACTGTGTGCACTAGGGACATAAGAAGGCCTGGGCAGGGAGTCCTCACAGCTGAGGGAATGCTTGTGGCATCCAGAGAGGTGAGCCCACAGAGGGGAGGCAGGACTTCAGGCCCTGAGCGGAGGAAGGCCTCCCAGCAGCCCCCAGCCCTGTCTGCTGTGCCGGCCAGGGCACTACACAAACCAAACACCAGGCCCCAGAGGCACAGGCACATCTGATCCACCAAGGAGAAAAGTTTGGGGTGCAAGGTTCGGTTTCCTCCTAAGCACCAGTCCCACCCCGCCAGGAGCGGGAGGTGTGTATGTCTGTACGTATGTGTGTCTGCGTGTATGCATACGTATATGAAATCCACTGAAAGCCAGGCCCCGCAGGACCTCATTTTGTTTGTTTTCAGCCATTGGAGAAGCTGCCCTCACCCTGTCCCCTGTCAGCAGATGGCTGAGGCCTGCTTGGTCTCCGGGTGTCGGGCCCCACCTGTGCCACCTGCCCCAGCCCCCGGAGGCCCCTCCCCACAGACTGCCCATTCCAGGAGAAGGGGTATAAACTTGGGGCTGGTTGAAAAAGAATCTTTTTTTTGCTTTTTGCTTATTAAAAGCCCCCTTTTTTGTTTTTTGTTTTTTTTTTTTTAACTCATTTCTGCCCTGCCACCGGCTTCCCCACTGAGCCCTTCCTCCGACCCTCACACCTGGGCCTGCAGCAGGTGGGCCCCACACCTGAGCCTGGTGGCGGTGGCGGCCCAGTGCCCGGCAGGCAGCGCCGTGGCCTCGTGTCTGTGTCTAACCTCTGGTATTGCATGTTCTGGGCAGGGAAGCGAGGGCGTCGCAGCAGTGCGGGATCGCTAGAGAGCAATGTGGAAGTAAGTAGGAAGCGCCTCGTCCAGCTGGCTGTCGTGTGTCACCTCCCTACTCCTTGGTTTATATCTGTCGTCTTTGTTTTTTTGCTCTTCCTTCCCCTACTGCACAGAGGCGCAGACACGCCCGCCCCTGCCTGCCTCAGCCCGGTGCATGCCAGCCCCTCCACCTAGAACTGCTGCGCCTCCCACCGCTTGTTTGGGCTGGAACGGTGGGGGGTGGCTCTGGATTTTGTGTTCTAGTTCCTGCTTAACCCCTGTCCCCTGTGGTCCCCAGCATGGTTCACATTCCTGGCTTCCTGGCACTGCTCCTGGGAGGGAGGCAGCAGCCGCCGGGCACCCTCCACCCTCGCTGCTGGGGGTTTTGTGGATCTCTGGACTTCCACGCTCCGCCATCCCCATCGCTTCCTTCCTGGAGTCTTGATTGTCATGTGTCTGCAGTCAGGGCACCATGGAATTGCTTAGCTAGCTCGGGAGGAGGAGAGCCGTGAGAGAAAGGAAAGTTCAGTGTGGATTTCATGAGATTTCATTCATCTTCAACCATCTCTATATTACTGTTCACATCTTAACCTCAGCTTGCAGACCTTTTTGTTTCCTTCTTTTTACTTGTTTGGTTTGCTGTAGGTAGCTGCAGTGAAATGCCCAGGCAGCCCGCCCCCCAGGACCGGGTTTCCCGAGCCCCTCCTGTCCCTCTCGCCACCTTCCCAGAAGCCTCGGGACCCACACAGGCAGAGCAATGCGCTCAGACCCATTGAGAGGACCCAGGAGAGCTCAGAGTACAGTTTCAGCAGGAATGGGGTTCCTCATTGTGCACACCAGCCTGCCCCGCTCCACTCAGTACACGCCACTCAGACACCCCCAAACAAAGGGTCCGATCTGAAAGCTCAGGCTGCCTCTGTGACAGGGTGCTCGTCAGGATGGAGCAGGAGTCACACTTGTGCTGCTGCTGCTGCTGCCCAGAAGGGAGGGTTCCCTCCTCCCCTGCCCCAGCCCCGCTTTTCTCCCTGGAAGGCCACTTCTCAGGGTCCGTCCAGCCCCTCAGCAGTCTCGCCACAGTAGTGTGCGAGGACATGGCTCCTGAGTCCCCGTCCTCCGCAGCCAGCGAGTGAAACTAAGGCTTAGCAGTCAGTGGGGGAACTTTTACATTTTTTTTTTAAAAAATCATTCTGACATAAGTGATTTAAGATCTTTTAATTTTGATTTCTATGAATTTCCTTTTTAGGGGTCCATCATTAGCAGTCCTCACATGCGCCGGAGAGCTACATCAACACGAGAGTGTCCATCTCGCCCACACCAGACTATGCCTAATTCATCCTCCCTCCTGGGCTCCTTATTTGGGAGTAAGAGAGGGAAGCCCCCTCCCCAGGCCCACCTGCCCTCAGCCCCTCCCCAGCCACCCCCCCACCCGCCGGGCCTGCCCCACCCGCAGCACTCCTCCGCTGGCCATCACCAGGGGCCCACAGAGGGCCCACCACAGGCCCAGGTACATGGGCACCACACCCAGTACTGCCACATGCAGCAGAACCCACCCCCCTACCACCACCACCACCACTACCACCCCCCCCAGCACATCCAGCATGCACACCAGTACCACCATGGCCCCCACGGGGGGCATCCACCCTATGGGGCCCATGTGCACGGCCACCCACCGCTGCCCTCGGCCCACATGGGCCACCCAGGCCACGTAGGCCATGCAGCGCATCACCACGGGCAGCCCCCCGCACCGCCGCCCCCTACCAGCAGCAAGGCCAAACCCAGCGGCATCAGCACAATTGTGTAGACAGCCTGTGCGGGGGTCCCAGACTCCCTGGAACAACTAACTGCACACCACACAGAGGCCCGCCCGGGGTGGCCAGCCTCGGGCCAGACCCAGGGCACTTGTGTTTCCATCTCTCCCCTCTGCTCCTCACAGCCGGACGGAGCCCCCTGAGCCCACAGGGCTTGCGTTGTAGGGAACAAAGCTCCTGATTTAATTTAATGTTGGCGTCCGGGCTCCATCTGCCTCAACCCGAGGGGTGGACCTCGGCCACCATCAGCCTCGAAGCCGTGACGCCGGCCAAGTAGGTCTTGAGCTGCCCCCAGCCCACTGCAGCCCTCAGCTCTCTGCCCGATTGTACACGCACATGAAACCCAGCCTAGGAAAAGAAGAAACGAGACACAAAACCAGAGAGAACAAAACAAAAACCCAACACTTGCTGCATTATTGCTCTTTTGTTGACAATGGGCAAAAAATTAAGTAGACCTGATATGGTTGATGAAAATACGTAAGTAAACTTTATATAATATAAATATATAAATATATAAATATATATATATATATACTGTATAGGTAGTATTTGTGTGTGAGAGGCAAGCGTTTCAGTCCACAGAATTAGCAATATAGACTTTACAAGGAGCTCCACTTACCTGATAGGAAGACAGGACCTTAGATGAATGTGTGAGAGAGTAGACCAAAAACTTAAATGCTAGGAACAAATTCAGATACTTCCATATTTTCATAAAAAGAAGAGAAGTCCCTCTAGGACTGGCTAAAACCTTTACGCAATCTTTACTAACTGTGCCAAGTAACATAGCATCTAACTGTTTAAAAAGTCCAATATTGCTTTGTATAAATCCTTATTTTATTAACAGAATACTATCATAAGTAATCAGTATTATTACTGCTCTGTTATTTCAGGTAAGCAAATAGATAAAATGCAGTAAACTACAGTAGCAACTCGGGACAACTAGTTCGGAACCAGTTGTCCTAGAATATTGGTTACACAGATGCTTAGACACTTTAATGGCTGCGATAACTGTGAATTCCCATGTTCCATATTTCTTTTACATGCATCTGATTTAATGCACACTCATTCCGAGTCCTCTGAGGGGGCACCCATACACGGCAGAAGTACTCATCTCCAACATGAAAGCGGCCAGCTCTCATCCTCGTCTCCCCAGCACCATAACTTACTCATCCTGTTCCAACCGCACCAGGCAGGAGCCCCGAGCGTGTTTCCACCAGGAACCGCTCTCGAACCTGAAGGCTGACTTTAGCGTTTAGCAGCCAGGGCGGTGTGTGTGTCTCCCGTTTTGTTTTCTGAGTGGTAGCCGTGACCATCGTAATTCCATGTAGCCATGTGCCAGCACAACCCCCTTGTCATCACCGTGGCCCATCTGACCCCGGCTGATGAGCACCGGCCTCGCCAGCGAAGCCCCTGCTACCTTCTCATGGTCCAGTTAGTTGCCAGGGCATCACATGACTCAGCTGTGCTCTTGTCGCTTCCGTGTTGTGGTGACACCATCCACTCCCCCAGGGGCCGGGCGCTGCACGCATCCGGTTCTGTGCCTGAGTCACCCACGGGCCGTACTTTGCAGTTTCAGCCTTTCGAGCCACTGCAGCCACCAGTGCTGTGCTCCTAAGCCGTGGGACCCGAGGACTGCCCCACGGCACCTGCCCAGGCGGAGAGCCCTTTCAGAAAGGGCGAAGCTAACGCAGGACTCTGCGGGCCGCGGGGCTCCGCGCTCCGTGGACAGCGTGGCGAGCCATGGCTGGACAGCAGGACGACAGAGGGGAGCCCACCCTGGCCGGCCAGCCGAGGGTTCTGCCCATTTCCCTCCCCACTCACCCCTTTCTCATATCATTGAGGTCACCATACCAGCAATCTGCAAACCGAGCACTTTGTTAATCTCCACGGAGAGCAAATACAGCAATTTAGAGTTTAGCGTTTTTTTAAAAGAAGTGTGACTTTAACCTGCCCGCCTTCATGTCCCCATCAGCGTAGTATTTCTCTCGGGCATCTGCTCAGAAAGAGAGAAATGAAAAGCACGGTGTGTCTGATCTGGCCCAGGCCAGGCTGGTGGGAGGCTCCCCGGTTCCACTGACTCCTAAATTCTTTGGTTTCCCTTCAGAGTCAGGCTCCCCGAGGCGTTCTCTGTCTTGCAGTGTAACAGATGTTGTTCTGACAAGGAAAAGTCGAATTGTGCTGCATGTCACCTGGCGTCAGTCGTGTGAGGCCACACTCTGTATTGTATATTTGCAAAATACATCAGTGTTACTGTTGACAAATAGTTGAAGTAAAGTGGTAACATATTAAATATGTCAGCTTTTCTTCACTCTCCTGTACCAATGGTAGAGTCTAACTGTAAACTCTAGGTTGTTCCAGAAAAGATGAGGCTGTTTGGTACAAGATTGCCCTTTCTGAAAGGACAGTCACTAAGGAAAAACAACAGAACCAACAATAAATCCGAGGGAGGGGCGGCTTCTCTCTTCATTGCCATCCTGCGTGCTCCACAGGCCATTCAGAACTCTGACCTCCAAAACTGTCACCGATGTGTCCTGAAGCTGTCAGGGTGCCACAGGGCCAGATGTAGTGAAATAGCTTCTTGAACAAATTCAGTTCTCGCGTTTCCAGCTTCATTCAGTGTATCAGGTTCAGGTCAATGAGGTTTCATTGTTCTGTGTGTTTTGTTTACAAACTGTCATGGGAAGTGTTTCTAGCACACTGTCCCATTGAGGAGGCTGGAGCCACGCTGCACAAATCTTGCCTGGGAAGCAAAAGCTTCTGATAAACTGGTGTCCCCCATGTTGTTTCCATGGGACTGTTCCCCAGATCCCAACCGGTCACAGGGTCACAGCTGGGGGTACCTATCATTCACCCCCAGGATAGGAGGCAGGAGCGCCACCAGGACATTTGTGTCATCCTTTCTTACTGTCAGGACACACGGGACATTTTTCTCAAGTTGCACAAATTATTTCAATTATACAATAATTTCCGGCAGGAGCAGGGGACCCTTAGAGGAAGCGGCTGGTAGCATCACAAAAATCTTTTCTGGGACAACAATTAAATCATGTATTTGTATTTTAAGTTTACGAATGAATTGTACAACAATGTAAAAATAAAGTTCATCCTAATATGATGTGCACGTCTTGCTTAAAAATGTCTTCAGTCAGCCAGTGTAGAGCGATTTTTCCATCACGCGCTGCATGCAGCAGAAGCCTCGTTTTTCTTTAAAATGAGCTGAAAAGACAGCAGATATGTAACCATGACCCTAGGTGTTGACTCGGCGCAAAGCTGCGTCTCCACAGGGAAGCATGCCTCTGACAGTTTTGTTGTAAAATATCATCACCTTTCCTGCCTGAAAAGTGAATAATTTTGTAAGTATTTTAAATAACAACAACAATTGAGGAAGCAGATTGTGAGGTGAATCAGCGTGCGGTGGGGGTGGCGAGGGGCGCGAGGGAGGAGCTCTGTCGGTTGTCCTGCGCGTGCCCGGCGGTGTCGGTGTTCTGTGTGCGGGCATGCTGGGGTCGCGCGCGGTGCCCGTCTCCTGAGAACGTCATTCACCTTCGAGTCGTTTTAAACACACAGAGTCAGGTCTCGAATGCAGACTGTTCAAAGACTTGCAGGGACCCCTCGCTCACGAGGAGCCCAGCACCCCCCGTGTGACTGGGGAGGAGAGGAGCGCTTTTGTTTTAATATGCACTCTGCCTGTGAGTAGTAAGACTCTATTGATGTAAAACCATAGCTGTGATCGTGTGGAGAAATCAAATAAATCCTTTAAAACTCTCGGGTTCCTACTTTCTCTGACAAGTCCAGCAGTTTCCCTGTCGGCCAGACACAGATCAGCTGGCAAGTTTGCCCATCCTTGTCGTGACTGCTCTGGGTACTGGCCTTCCTGGAGGACAGTGGACTGACTGTAACGTGAGGACGTCGATGTACAGATCACAACATAGGCACTGATAGACGATTTCAAGGGTATTTATAATTTCTAGCAACTTTCAATAAATTTTAGTGCTTTCATCGAGTTAGAGAGAGGAGCTGGATCCTGTGAAGTGTTGAGGTGGACTGGGAATGACTTCTGGGGGCAAGAAAACCCCGATGGCCCAGTCCCAAATGCTTGAAGAGATGATTGATGAAGTCAAGCTGCCCGTTTGTCCACGTGCTGGTTAATGTGATCTGCAAAAGCCAGGAAGGTGACGTCTGATCCCCCCGAACGAGGAGTTCTGTGAGAACAGGATTGGCTTGTACTGTTTCCCCTTTCCTGGACCCAAATTCAGTTCTAGAGAATACCACCTTAAAGTTTCAGTATGTATCATAAAATGAACTAAAAGTGGTAGATCTCATTTGTGGAAAAAACGTTAATTTTAATGACCAGATTTAGCTGTGGCCCACCCTTCGTAGAGAAGTGAATTCTGCTTGAAGGATGTTCTTAGCTTCCGCAGCTGGGCGGGTGTTCCTTTTCCAGGCCATTCAGGGGCTGTCCAGGAGGGGGAAGCTGGTTGTTCAAATTGCCCCACGTACTTGGCTCTGCTTCAGCCTCTGGTTGTGTGATGCCCAGGGCTGCCCCCGACCTGCTGCCTGATGGGGGTGAGCTGCTCAGCCGGTGCTTCGAGGTGATGGTTCTCTGAGTCTGCGTCTGTTTCCCCCCCACCAGACTGTGAGCTCCTCGAGGGCAAGGGGTGCATCTGACCCACTTCTCTGTGTCCATTGACTAGCACAGGACTGGTCTTGTCAAAATGCATCTGAAATGAATTGATGGGGGCGGGGCAAAACCACTGGCTGATCTTACAGTCTGTAAATCATCATCAAAAACATGGAAACTTGTTTGCTCTGCCCTCTGCTGCCCTTGACATCAACAAGTCTAGCTGGGGTCACAGGTGACACAGCAGGCCTCTAAATGAGCATTTCATGCTCACTGACTGTGTCCTTCCCCCCCTTGCCGCACATTTCTGGCGCTCGTTTCACTTGACCTCTCAGCAATTTTCGATATGTTCACGCATTCCTTCTTGAAATACTCTTTCCTTGGCATCTCTGAGCCCACACTCTCTTCTCCTCCTTTCTGGGGACTCCTTCACCGTCTCCTCTGCAGGCTGACGCTCCTCCGCGGTGCCATCGAGTGTTGCTGTCAGGCCCATGTCGGAGCCCTCTGCCTCCTCTCGCCTCCGAGTTTCGGTCTCCCTCCTGCACCCCTATTGCTTCCAAACTTGAATGGCCAGCTCAGACCTCTACTCTGAGCACCCATGTTCCCTTGGGTCTTCCAGCAGCACTTCAGACTATCTGCATGACCAAGTTCACGGTCATACACAGGCACTCATGAAACCAGGGCCTCTGCTGTGTTCCCTATTTTGGCAAATGGCATCACCATTGAGTTGTTTCAATCAGAACTTAGGAATTCTCCCTGGCAATAGGAACAATTGGGCAGTGGTTGGAGGCTTTCCTTATAGTGTTTTAACTTTGATCAAATGCATTTTAACATTTAGAGCATTTGGAAAGAACAGATTCATAAAAAGCAGGGAAAAAAAATCATCCACAATCCTATCACCCAAAAAAACATTATAATTGTTAGGTCTATTTCCTTCCCATCTTCTCTTCACATATTTCTGAGTTACCCAGCTCAGGTCTTCTGTACGTGTCCGAAAGAGTTTGTAAGTGTTATTTGGTGCGCCTCATGAAAAAAGAGTTTTCGCAATCAAGAACATAGAGGAAATGCTGGATTAGAAAAAGTTCAATCGATTTCTTCACTGCAAGACTTCTCAGAAGCTTTTAAAAGGCTGCTGTGCACTGTGACTGCCTGAAGGACAGCCTGTGCCACGTTTCCTAAACTAAAGTTAGGGAATCCTCTCGCATTCCATAGCATGCAGTTTAGTGAAAGTTTGTATGTGTAAGTTTTGCTCATTTTTTCCTTAATATATTCTGATGTTATGAAAGACTCAGCAGTTTATAATGTGTGCATCATATGCATGTCCCAGGATGCATTTGCCAGGCAGATAGTTATTTTGGTGAACAAGGAACAGAAAAAGAAAGAATACTTTTCTGAGCAGATTTGGTGATTCTGGGAAAGATTTGGGACCTAGAGGAGCTGGACACCATGGAATCTAACTTTAGTGGGGAGTTCCTGGGATGACCGGTGACACTGTTTTGGTAATTCTGGGTAGCCACGTGTCACCTGAGATGCTGCTTGATTCAGTATATTCAATTCAGTGCTCACTTTCCAAGGAACGCATCTCACTTTGCAGCACAGAGTTGGCCTGCAGCAGAGATTCACTGGCTGGCTGATGGAGGGCGTATTCGGAAGGCTATTTACCATCACCCCTACTGTGTAGCTTCATGACTTTTAAGGTCCTTTTAGGGAAATCTTTTCTTCCCTTTCTGTTATTTCTGACCACACTCTGCCACCTCCACAATGTGACCAGTGTCCTATGTGGGAAAAGTTCATTTAAATCTGAAAGACAGGAACTAAAACACTTTAGTTGTCATAGAAAGCATTCTAAAATAAAAATGCCAGAGGATAATCGAGGCCACCTAAATTGGAATCTCTTCCCACGTCCTTCAGGAACTGTTTAGAAAAAAGAACAAATAAAATCACCTATAGCTCAGACCTACAGTGTCACCAGGAAAGAGTGAAAACCACACATTTTAATGAAAAGTCAGTGGGAAAATAAGCATCGTAGACTAGCAGAGTTGACATCAAGTTCCATCCCAGAATATAGATCCAGGTGGGAACTGCACAGAAAAGAGGAATGGCATGGTCCTGATGGTGGTAGAAACAGATAACATCCACTGGGGTTCATGCCCATACAGAGAGAGAATGACCCTGCATGGAGAAATGCAGAAAGGAGAATTGAGACCTGGTGGAATCCAAAGGAAAACACTTGGAAAAGTTGTGGGACCAGAGGTGGCAGAAGGCACTGCTTCTGGGAGAGGGAAGCACCTAGGAAAAAGAAGATTCCCCTTGGAGACCTGGTGATGGTCCTGCTTGGAAGCCGCTGAGGGCCCTATTCAAACAAGATGCTCTTGGAGAATCAGAAGAGGGGCCTTCAATAAAAGCACCTTTTCTTAAAGGAATTGCAATTCCCTGTAGCAGCAAAATATGGCATTATTGGACTAAAAAAATCAAGTAAACCAGCCAAGCCCCTGGCTCTTCCCTATAGCATCAAATGCTATTGTTGGCCCTGGAAAACCCAATACAAATAAACATGTAAAGTATTCATACAAAAGTACTTTAAGGAGGAAAATGAGAAAAATTTTATCAATAAAAATATACATACATATGAACAGAATAAAAAGGGAAAAGTAGGGAAAATTGTAACAACACTCCTATATTAATTAAATATAATTAAACAAGCAATAACATATGAAAGAACACCATAAATCATAAACTCAAGCTCAGAATAAAGACGGACAAATAGGACATGCAATGGGAGCTCACTAAACTTAAGAAAAAAATGGAAGAAAAATATAAAATTATCTCAAGTGCCCAAAGGAGAATAGATATAACTGAAAGTATTGAAATGGACATAGAGGATGGAAATAAAAAAGATCCAAGAAAATGAAACAAATAAGGAGGCATTAGAGATCAGAGAGAAAGTAGAGACGTAGCAGATGGAAAAAGTGTCTAACATACATATAATTGGAGTCTGCGAAGAAGAGAAACAAAACGATATAGAACTAAGATGTAAAACTATAATTAAAGAAAATTTTCTGTGGTAAAGGAAACCTGAGCTTACATCCTGAAAGGTCCCACTTTGTTCTTGGGGAAAAAAAGACCTAGAATTATCAACACTGAGAGATGAATCCTAGTAAAATTATTGAACTTTGAAGATAAAGAGGAAATTCTCTGGATGTCCAGGCAATAAAATCAAGTCAAACACAAAGAAAAGAAAATCACATTGGTATTAGATTCCTCAAAATAACATGTAAATCAAGATGACAGAGGAACAACATTTTAAAGAGACTCAAGAAAAGAAAAAGCATGAACCAAGGATTTTGTATCTAACCAAGCCATCTTTCAGGTATCAAGGGTACAGAAAAGTAGCTTCAGACAGGTTTTGAACATACAAGAATGTGGTGAATATAGTCCTTATGAGTCCTTTCTGAGGACTCTCTTATAGGATAAACCATCCGAACAAGAGATCTGAGAAATTTTTGCAAAAGGACTGATGACTAGCACTGGATATATTTAATTACAGATCTAGGACTAAAACATAAGGGGGGATAAGGCTGGAAGAATACTATGTAATGTTATATGTTCAGACAAAATAGAAATAACACAGTTTTTTAAAAGAAAGAAATAACACAGTCTTTTAAAAGGAAGAGAGTAAGGGGAGAGTAGAATAAGCCTATTCACTGCTGGATTGTTAATAGGTGAGAGTCAAATGATGTTATTTAAACCTGGTAAAGCCAAATAGTAAAAGGCTAAGTAAGAAAAAGGGGGGCTGAGGGCATTATATGAAGATTTTTTGTAAGGGTAACGTCTAGAACAAAAGTACAAACCTTCCCAAATACAGGAACAAAACAGAGGAAAAAGGCTGGGCAGAAAGAGGAGAACAGACCTCAGAGTGAAGGATACACAGTGAGGATAACATAATGTACACAATAACTATACAACATAAAATATTACAGAACAAATACCAAACATGTCAATTATACCAATAAATGTAAATGTGTTTAGATCCCTTATTAAAAAGATTTTAATACTGGCTCATGTATCATTCAGCTATTGCCATAATAATTCTGTGTGACAAATAATCCCAAAACTCAGCAGCATTAAACAATAAACATTTATT